ACACCATTATTAGATACTCTGCTCTCTCTAAACTCATTATTACTATTCCACAGAACTAAGAATTCATGCCTGTACCCTATACTTTTTCAGCCATATCTCTCCTTTCAATCTAAATATAATTTTCAAAGAAAATTACATGGCGGTTGAAATAGTTGACACAGAGGTACCACACACAGACTTTAACTTTAATAAACTTTGTACAAAGTCTATCTTGGAGCAGTTGAATAAGTGTCATTATAGAAATACACATAACAAACAAGATATTTACCTTATTGTGAGTTGCATGTAGCAACTCATTACAAGTGTTGGCAACCCCTTCAGAGATCTTCTTGGGCTGTGGTTTACGGCCACGAAGTTCTTTCTTTGGACGACCAACATTTCGTTTCATTTCCATCTACAAGAATATTTTTTATTAGAGTTTATGATAGTTTGCTATATATGAAACCAATAGTTTAAGCTTTTGTCACTGTCTTGATGAATCGAAAAACATTGGATAGTCATAATATATCATATCATAGCAACACATTAATATCTGGCTGCAGGGATGGTGCTGCAGTGATATATCACTGCTCTAGGAAGCTTTTGTATTATTAAATATTTTGTTTTTTGCAAAGGTGTTAGTACTTCAATTCTCCTAACTGCCTGTTAGAATATTTAACATTTCATAAGATTGTCATTCCTCTACTCCATCATTGGAGTGGTCAACCACGTTATCAGTGTTTCATTCAACTCTCAATGTCTACGCGTTAAATAAAGATTTAAAATCAACATTTTTATAAAAAGTAACCACTTTAACTCTCAATAGTAAATAATGGAGCACAAAACTTTTTACTTAAAATACGTACCTTTGTAAAAATAGTAAAAAGTATTCCAATAAGTAAGTAGATAATTAAATCATATTATATAACTAAAATCATAAATAATTAATAAAAATAATCACTTACCCTTGTAATATTCTTCAACTTCAACAAGTTTTAACACTTAACCAAAATTCTGTGTCAGTTATTTGATCGCGTTAGCGCCAAATTGAAATTTTCTCCTTCGATTTCCCGCTCTTTTGTTTTTTTTTATAACAATGTATTTTAAAATTCGAATGCATTCTTCTTTTTGAAAATTATCAGAACTGTTAACATTTTTTTTTTCTATTATCATTTTAAAATAGTTATTGTCTTTTAAATTAATTAACTATATTCTTTTAGACAAGTATTTTTTAATTGTATTCTAAAAAATATTTTTTCAAACACAAATATTTATTTTAATTGAAATTAAAATGGATTTAACCTTTCTTAAAAATTATTGTTAATTTACAAGCTATATTATGTAATAAAAGAAATGTAACTAATAAAAAAAGATATAGGTAATTCCAATTCATCCATCAATAAATATGTCTATATTATATTAAAAAATAATACTCAACGAATTTCTACGGTATGCCTTGAACCGTAATATTTTTCATTTAATTTACAAATTAAGCAATCAAATTCTCTCATGAGACCTATAATTATTTTATAGTCTGTACAATTCTGTTATGAAGCGCTGTGGTCACGAAACAAATCTGTATTATGTAATATTATCTTATCTGTGGCTGTATCCATGTAGTGGGCTTAAGGACAGGCATTAGACATCTGTAGAATTTATTACCTGTACCTACTCTCATTCTACCGTTGTTCCACTTAATTATTGTTGTGTTTGAAATTATCTAATAGCTATCGTAGATGTTAATTTTTTTCATTTCAGATTTCTTTATTTTTTTTCTAGTTAATACAGTAATTTTTATTTGAACTACGTGAAGGACACACTCATATTCGTTGATAATCGAATAAGAAACATTAATAATGTAAACATCGCCTTCATACATAGTGCTGTAGTTTTGTCATTATGTTTTTCATACTTACCTGTAATATACATCGAGACAATCGAAAGAATAAATCTACCACATATGCTAAATCAAACTTTTTATTACCATAAAAAAATACCTTAAAATGTATGTACTTAAATAATTTCTTCTGTTACTGAATGTGAATATATTAAAAATGAAATAATAATGTATAGAAATTAAACTGCCTAAAAACATGGTTAATAATATTAAAGTTTTTTATTTATTTATACTTAATAATTAATAATTACCCAACATTTAATTAAGGACGTAACTATCTATTTTCTTTATTTCACGCTGTTATTTATTTAGAGTTTCCATTCCTCAATAGAAGTCAATTCGCTGCAGAGATGATAGGTGCCACAAAACTGAATTTTAAAAAGTCTTTAATATTGTCATCCTATGATGACAATGATGAATGACAATGAAGATGGCGGCCGAATTAGGATACTTTATCTATATAAAGTATCCTAATTCGGCCGCCATCTTGGATTTTTCCTTTTTAAATACTGTGCACTTTGGTGACAAACACTTCATCCATACATTGTACAGAGCCGAGGTTACATACACCTAGTAGTTCCTTAGTACGGTTTACTATGAAAATCGATGCATGGTGTTGCCAGCTGATTTTGACAAAAATCACCTAAAATCAATAGGGGGATTGTTTTTGAACCAATGCTTATCACTGTTTTGTTCAAATTAAGGAAAAAAAAATTCACACGTTTTTTTACTTTTCTCCGAAATTACCCCAAAATCGGGGAAAATTTTTAGACCAGGTAAAATTTTCCACCGAGAGTTTCCATTGCTCTATAAAAGTCAACTCGCTGCAGGGATAAATGGTACCCCAAAATTGAATTTTAAAAAATCCCTAAAATTGTCAACATAAATTAAGTACCCTAACTCAGCCGCCATCTTAGATTTTTACTTTTTAATACTTTTGACGTATTCACCTTAGTGACAGAAACATTTCGTTCATACATTGTATAGAGCCTCAGTGACTCCTTCTAGTACTATTCTCTAAGAAAACTGATGTAAGGTGTTGCCAGATAATTCTGACAAAAACCACCTAAAATCAATAGGGGGATTGTTTTTGACAGATTTTCATCATTCTTTTGTTTGAAATATCCAAAAATTATTGTCCCACTTTTTAGGACTTATCTCAAAAATTACCCTAAAATTGGGGAAAATTTTTATACCAGGTAATACTTTGAGTTGAGACACATCATCTCTCCATAGAAGTCGACTGGCTGTGGGGTTGGCAAGTGTCCTAAAACTACATTTAAAAATATCCCAAATTTTCTCCGAAAAGCAAAACTCCCCTATCTCTGCCGCCATTTTGGATTTTTACTTCCTAATAGTTTTGACGTATTCACCTTAGTGACAGAAACATTTCATCCATACATTATGTAGAGCCTCGGTGACTTCTTCTTGTACTATTCCCTAAGAAAACTGATCTGAGGTGTTGCCAGATAATTTTGACAAAAACCACCAAAAATCCTTAAGGGGATGACTTTTGACAGATTTTCATCATTCTTTTGTTTGAAATGTCGAAAACAAATTTTCCCACTTTTTAGGACCTGTCTCAAAAAATACCCCAAAACCGGGGAAAATTTTCATACCAGGTAATACTTTGTGTCAAGAGACATCATCTCTCCATAGAAGTCGACTCGCTGCGGGGTTGCCATGTGTCCTAAAACAACATTTAAAAATGTCCCAAATTTTCTCCGAAAAGCAAAACTCCCCTATCTGTGCCGCCATCTTGGATTTCTAAAATTTCATAATTTTCCCTAGAGGCCGAGTCCTTTGGCTATCCGACGCCACACAGTGTGTTGAGCTAGCACACTCGTAGGTACCCTATCAATTTCAGTTTTTGAAACTACATCTCAATTTCAAAATTTGTACCATGTTGTATGGGTGTTGCCAGCAAATATCGATAAAATCCACCTAAACCCCTTCGGGGGACGATTTTTGGTAGACCAACAAGACTTTTTCATATAAAATGTCGAAAAAAATTTTTCCCACTTTATGGGACTTTTCTCCAAATTTAACCCAAAATCGGGGAAATTTTTTAGGCTTTATAAACCTTTCTACTGAGAGTTATCCAAGTCCGTAGGAAGAGACAAGCTTCGAGGTTGCCATGTGCAGCAAAAACGCGATTGAAAATATCCCAAAATTTTTCCAAAAACTTAATCTCCCATAGCTTGGCCGCCATCTTGGATTTCTGAAATTTCATAATTTTCCCTAGAGGCCGGGTCTTTCAGCCTCCCAATGCCCTACAATAGGGATCGGTAGCTCCCCCGCAAGTACCCTAGGAATTTCAGTTTTTGGAGAGACACCCCAATTTCAATTTTGGTCAAACCATGTATGGGTGTTGCCAGCAAATTCCAACAAAACCCACCTAAAACCCTTTAGGGGATGTTTATCGATAGGCCTTGATGCCTCTTTTGTCAAAAATGCCGAAAAAATTTTTTCCCACTTTTTGGGACATTTCTCCCAAATTACCCCAAATTCGGGAAGTTTTTTTAGCGCTGGCAATACTTCTTACCGAGACCCATCATCGCCCCATAGAAGCCGACTCGCTGCGGGGTTGCCCTGTAGCTAAAAAATGACTTTGAAAATAATCCGGATTTTTAGGACCAAATTCACACGCCCGCAACTCGGCGGCCATCTTGGATTTTCGAAATTTCATAATTTTCCCTAGAGGCCGGGTCCTTCGAGTTTCCTATGCCCCACAACCGGTGTCGCCAGCACCCTCGCAACTAACCTGGGAATTTCAGTTTTTGAAACCCTCGAAAAATTACAATTTTCATTTCCATTTTTCACGCCGCCATCTTGGATTTTATTTTTTTATTTTAACCTGACATGCAACCGTTTGCGGCCCGCTACGAACCACCGCTTGAACGAAATCGATCCGACGGAAATTGACAAAGTTCAGCCGCCATCTTGGTCCGCCATCTTGGATTTTCCCAAATTTCGGAATTTTCTCGTGGTCACCCTAGCGAGAGGTACACTTCCCCCATACATCGTCACGACCCCCCGGCACTCCTTCTGGGAGAACAACTATGTCAATCAGTCAGTGACCGTAATGCAGCTTTATATATTATAGATTACATAACTTTATACGGTGCCCGATTTCATGATTCGTTTTTTGCTGGATAGGGTTAGTTAGATGGTTCATTGTCATAGACAGTACTATAATAGTACTTAACTAAATGTAGAAAAAAAGGAGTATTATTTTGATTTAATGGCACCAGGTTTTGGCATTTCTTCAATTGTTGCTGGCAGTGGTCGATTTTGAAACCAAGGATGTCTTATGGCCTGTTGAAATAAAATAGAATCAGATATATATACCTATTTGTGAATATAAATTGAAAATATATATTTCTAGGCATTTACGTGGACCATTCTTATTTATCTAATATTATAAAGAGAAAGCAGTTGCTTCACTGTTTGTTAAATTTTCACGATTATAATAAAATTTTACGCAGAGAGAGATTGTATCGCGATCATGATTAGGCTATATATTGTTTTATTCTGCCCAATTCTCTGGTCAGAGTTAGTACAAGAATAAACTATTGCAAAAAGAATAATTTACTTCGACTAATCGCGAAGATGGCTTGTTAAAAAGTACAGCATGTTCCTAGCCCTTTCGATTTTCAGAGCAAAACCATAATCGATTAAATATATTATCATCATATAATTTATTTTCGTAATAAATTTTATTGAGATTGTTTCGCCGTGGAAATTACATTTTCATACAGACAGACACTTTCAAATTTATAATATTTCTACGGATAATTTTTGCTTATTAATATTTAATACCTCTTTCGCCGAAATTCTCTTATTAGCGTCGTAGAGTACGAAAGATTTAACAAGTTGCACAGCATCTGGTTCTACGCCTGGCAACAAATCAGGCCATGGCGTTGGGAAGGATTCAGGAAATGTTATCTTGTGGAAGTCAGGTAATTCAGAGTGCGCCGGCCATGTTTCCTCGGTGGGTGTACCCAAGTGCTGCAGAACTATTGCCAATTGTTCTATGTCGGATTCGCCCTGAAATGTGAAACGGTACTTTTGTTTATGGATGACAATAGAATGGTGCATTCGCCTGCGTTAACGATTTACGCAGGCGGGCACCAGTTGACGATGATAAGATGAGCATGAAGTTAGGTCAGTTAGCCGATCTTGGTAAATGACAATTTACCACAATGGTTTCCACAGGTAATTGCGAGGAGGTTAACCTGACAATGGTGCATTGCTGGTAATGGGATTATTAGTCCACATTACTATCAAAGCCCTTCCCCCCCCCCCCCTATGAAACGGTATTATGTATAGACTTTACATATGAACAGCACTATAGATATCGCGTGACACCCGCCATTCCAGAAGACTAAGATGACATGCTTCTTAGCCTGTAATTTCATTGCCTTATTACATCTACCTACATAAATAAAGTTATTTTGATTTGATTGACCTTTCAATCCGACCACAAAGTAAACTGCTTGACGCTCGAAATAGTCTGTAAAAATATCAAATTTCTCACTGCAAATAATGGTTGTTTTGTAATTAATTCTGCAATAATGCACCCGACAGCCCAGAGGTCCACTTTTTCTGTGTAGAATCTAGCTCCGTAGAGAAGTTCTGGTGCTCGATACCATCTGAAAATATTTTACATTCTTAAATACCTAATACTATTAGGTATATAAGAAATACTTATACTATTTGTTACGGGTTTTAAAACCGTGAGAGTATCTCGTCATACCGTTATTAAAAAATATTAACAGTGAGTTCTTTTTATTCTTATGTATGTATCTAATTATTATACATCTACATTTGCTGTTTGCAAATGACTTGCAATATCAAAGTTGGTTTGTGGAGAATACCAATAATATTCTGATAGTCTATTTTACCTTTTATATTTTAAGGATAGAATAACCTGCTTCATAAGGCCGTAAGTGATGACAGCGAGGAATTTTTATGGAAGCGGAAGAACCTTACATCCAGGACATCACTCAGTGTAGGTAATAGTTTTGTAGAGTGTAGTTTGAATATTTTATATATTACTATTTTTTGCATCATTTTTTTATTGCCGCTCCGCTCTTAATCATAGCATGATGTTATATAGTCCTAAGAAGTCCACGATAAATGGGCTATCCAATACTAGAAGATTTTCAAAATCGGATCAATAGTAGGTATTGCAGATTACCCCGAACTTCTAAACACATAAACTATTCTATTTATAATAAGTATTTATACAAATTTGCATAAAAGCTTGTAAACTTACCTTGTTGCTACTTGATGCGAGTATGGTCTACCACCATCAGGCCAATAGAGACGCGCAAGACCTAAATCTGCTATTTTCAGAATGCCCTCGTGATTTATCAACAGATTTGCAGGTTTCAAATCCTTCAAAAGAGTACTTGTTATACTGGTGTCTATTTTAAAAATATACATGTCTATTACAGTAGGTAGATATACCTACTTAGAAATTATATCATAAATTGAACTATGTTAGTTTCTACTTTACTCTTTTACCTACTATAGATATATGTATGCATTAATATTATTATTTTTGGATACATATATTCGAATAAACAAAAACTTAAAAGAAATGTATGGGACACAGTTACCTAGATACATGAAAATTATAATTGCATTTAATAATAGCTAGTAAGACAAATTCAATATTGTCTACTAAGAACTGCTGTGTCTAAACTGTGTCACCCCACCTTACATTTTCCTACTGTTATTTAGTACATAAGATCATTATTTCTATGTACATATATCAGTCTAATATCATCTGTAATATACATCGTCTCAACCAACAACATCGTATCATTCACCCGCAACAAAATGTTCTTCCACATATCTAATAACAATCTCTTATATGACAACTAACTACTGGCTGTTTATATGTATGGTATTCTCAACCTACCCTGTGCATAATGTAATGGGCATGCATATAACGCGTTCCTTTAAGCAACATCTGGACATACGTTTTGACTCTTGGAAGTGTCAGCTCTTGCTGGTTGTGATGCAGCATCTCCCATAATCCTGAACACATGTATTCCAATACCAAAACCAAGCTCATACCTCGGGGGAACATATCGTAAAGTTTTATTATCTGTGAAATATAAGAAATATTTTACCTACCTATTTTATGACAGATAGGCTGGACGCACATTGAGTTGTTTTTGTAACGAAACTAAGCTCGCCCCGTCTTCGCACGGATTTACATGTATTACACGTATAAACCTTCCGGTTGAATCACTCTATTTAAAAAAACCGCTTCAAAATCCGTTGCGTAGTTTTAAAGATTTAAGCATACATAGGGATGGACAGACAGCGACAGCGACTTCGTTTTGATACTATTATAGATTGATGTACTGGCTTGTGTTAAACTTATAAGTACTATGTAACATTATGTTATCTGTGTAAGTACTATCAATCATAGCGAATTCAGGAATAATGATGGTTTCAAGGGAAGAGCATGTGGAGGTCGAGCTGACATATATAGACACATAGGGCTACTATTCCCTATTAGTAACAATTCTCTTCCTTTCACTTTAAGATAAAGCACATAAGCCTATATTTAAAAACTAATTCTTTGCCTACTTGCATCGCCTTCATCTCATCTTGCTTGCGGATTAGTTATTTATATAGTTTTATGATTTTTATATTTTATATATATACCTATATTTATATATATCTATATAATTTAAAATTTTACGGGTTTATGTAGTTATGAATCATTTGGTAATCCCGGGCAGTATCAGAGGTAGGTACAGATATACTTGTACGGTTCGCAACTACTATTATCCAATAGGTAATATATGTATATTAGCAAAATGTTCAATTTAAAATAAGAAACCACTACAACAGCTATATACATAATTAGCCCTAAAAACATCAATTACTAACTACAGAATTAACGATAACTTACGTATTTACATCTTAGAAGCTGTAAAGCTTTGATTTCCCTCATAACATTCACTGGTATTCCATCTTCGAGGTTTTTGATCAGAATTTTTTTCAAGGCAACTTCACGACCTGTAGATAAATGCCGTGCTTTGAATACAAGACCATGAGCGCCTTCACCAATCCGTCCTATCACTGAATAGTTTGTCACGTCGTTCTCCATGTTTTCATATTTAGGTATTTACTAATTAGGTTCAATATATCCTGCAAAAAGATGCGCGAATATAAGTAGGTACTGTGACACTGAACATGTAATCGTATGTTATTATTAGTTTGTTATGAACTCGTTGCTATGGTAACCTAGAACGCAGAAAAAGTTGCTTCACTCCTAAAGAAAAGGAGAAAACGCGGTATAGGAATGTCATGTTTCTGTCATCAAATCCTGATGCGTACAAACAATTCAAAGTAACTAGGATGTAGAACTTATAATAGAGTGATCCTGTTTTAATTTTCTACTTTACGTACCTATTTTTCCAATCCATAAAAATGAATCGCTGAAATTGTATCCAGGGATACAGATACAGTATAATCTCAGTGCCATTTGAATACATCGTCAATATATGTTTTAGTACTGTTCATTCAAACTTCGTTATCAATAGCTGTGGTGAAGACGGAAAGTTCAAGGAACTTATAACAAATACGAGTATAATAAAGCGCTATGTTATCCTATGTTTAGGTATTTAAATTTTTTGTACCCTTAATATCAGGTACTGATTTAGGATAGATCTATTCATAGATTTAGTTTAGGTTTCGATTAGGCACTATTGGCATAAGATAATCGGTAGGTTTTATTTACATCATAAATTTCCATAACATGCCTTCACTTAATTGGTTTTGAACAATTATTACTTAAATGAATTTCTTTTAAATGTCGTTTGTAGTTCTTTAAAATTCAAATATATGTAAATTATTCGGTAAATACTAATCGCATACCGCGATTTCACTAATGCAAATTCATTGTTTCCTATGTTCGTAGAGAGAAAATTGCAATTATTAATTGGATTTTGGTCGGTGGAATAAATATTTTTAAATCGGTTCTGTTGTTCTACAGCCTATCCCTAAATATACAATTCATTTAACTGTGACGGGTAGGTACGGGTATTTTATCATAAATTATATAAGGAATTTACACTTATCCTTATAGACCTTTCTACCATTACTTAGACGGACCTACCTACTTTCATACATTGTTATTTTTGTGTCGTTACATTATTATTTAAATAATTATTTGTCTTTATCCGAGTCCTTGGGAACGTTCCGACTTCTATGTCTGTTAATTTTGTATTTACACAGTTGGTGTTTGTTCGAGACGTTGTTGAAATCAAATTCTTTTCATTGCGCAGGTATCGCACTGAGCGGTAACATTTTATTTGCTGTGTTATTCCAATGTGCTGATACAAATTCATTATAATGTGGTTAAAAAAATACAGTGTCGTGTTGTTTTTAATCTACTGCAGCCATGGAGTACAGAGTGCGTCGATACTCGCTTTATTCTCAACGCTATCATTTTCTGATCATCTTGTATACAGAGGCTATATTTCTTTACTGACTCAAAAGGGGCATTCTGTAGCTGTGATGACACCATATCCAGGTAACTTCCAATATCCAGACACAGAAAAAATAATTGAATTGGACGTAGGGCAAGAGTCTGCACCTTATTGGGACGAATACAAAAGATTGGTGAGCAACGTAGATGATTATTTCCCAAGATTGAGGGCACTCAATGAACTGTCCCTGAAAATAGCAATAGCCCAATTGAAGTCTAAGCAGATGACAGCATTGTTCATAAATCCAAATATAAAATTTGACTTAATTATTACTGAAGCCGATGTTCCACTCCTGTACGCAGTGGCCGAAAAATACAAAGTCCCTCATATCTCTATCACCGCTACGAATGGAAAAATACATCAGTACGAAGGAAAAGGCAATCCGATTCATCCCATATTATACCCAGATGTAAACACATTAAATTATAAAAACTTGACGCGTTGGCAAAAAGTAGTAGAATTTTATCGACACATCCAAACAAAGAATGAATATTACTACAATTATCTTCCTTTGAGTGAAATCGCTGCCAAGAAGATTCTCGGTCTCAAGCGGGACCTACAAGAAGTGGAATATGACATAGATATGCTTTTTATAGCTAGTAATCCAATATTAGTTGGTAATAGACCAACTGTGCCAGCCATTATCTTTGTAGATCGTATGCATATAAAACCGGGCATTAGTTTACCTCAGGTAAGATTCGATATAATGAATGGTTTAAGATGCCAAATAAAAATCAGATTTAAATATTGTTTCATTTTTTACAGAATATAAAATCATTTTTGGACTCATCTACGAAAGGCGTAGTGTATTTCAGTTTAGGTGTTGTCCAAGAGGCAGAGCAGCTTGCGACGCCTATTCTCCAAATTTTTGCAGAGGTTTTCCGGGAACTTCCATTCACTGTTTTATGGAAAATTGGTAACACAACTATGATTAACAAGGCTGATAATGTAATCGCCCAGGGTTGGTTCCCTCAACAGGAGATTTTGGGTAAAAAAATTGATGTTTATCATACGTTTATTAATGATAGGTACCTACGTATTACGAAAATGAATTCATAAATTATTATATTTATATATTTCAGCCCATCCCAATGTTAAGGTATTCCTTACACAAGGAGGAACCCGATCGTTAGAAGAAGCTATTTATTACGGAGTACCGATTATTGGTCTACCAATAGTCCGATCTAGAAAATTGTTTATTAAGGAAGTCACTAAATTTGGAGCTGGAGAAATCTTGGATCCTTACCAGTTGGATAAGGAAACACTAAAGTCAACGATTTCTGCAGTCGCGACCAATGAAAAGTAAGCATATATTTCGAAATTCCTTTCCTTTTTTTTTTTTTTCGAATCAGGCAGTGGTAGTAATTTATTTAATGCGATACTATTTACTATATTTTATCCTGCAGGTATGATATATTTACAATATATTTTACACAGTCGATTTTGTTTACCTCTTCTATATCTACTAATATTCCCGCTCGCAATTGAGAGGGAATTTTTCATAACACCCTGGAATCTAAGTGTCCGAGGTTGGTGCGGTTTTAGAGTAATTTCCTCTCGCGTAAACTTTTTTTAAAAAAATATTTTATGATCGGTAACGCGTATGTGTTTCAACTGGTGTTTCAGACGTCCATAGGCGACACGGTAAAATTTTACCATCAGATGGCCATTATGTTTGTTTGCCGCAAATGTTATATAAAAAAACATTATACATAGAATTATTTTTGTATATTTGGAATACATAGTCTAAATAATTTCTAAAATTCTGTGACCTATAAAAAGTTCCTATAATTTATTCCAGGTACAAGAAAGCAATTGTGAAACTTAAGGATATGATCTTCGACCCTATAATATCTGGTCCAGACAGTGCTGTATGGTGGACTGAGTATGTTCTTCGGCATAAGGGTGCTCGCCATTTCCGATCCCCAGCTGTTGGGGTCTCCTTCTTCAAATATTACATGCTGGATCTTCTAAGTTACCTGCTGGCGGGTTGTCTGTTTGTTCTTTATATTTCTTATCTTATTTTACGCTATATTTACAAGAGGCTGCGCCAGCGATTTATAGCTAGGCGCGATTTAGGTACTAAATATAAGGCATTGTAATTATTTTCTTTCATTTTATGTATTACTAGGTATGAACCTACTTAATATGTATATTATTTTAATTAATAAACAAATAAAATACATTTTATATAGGTACTTCGTGTTTCAGCACGTCATTTCAAGAGATACCTATTACCTACCTTCAATCAAGTACTTGTTACAACGGATAACTACGTTTCAGATAGTGTCCTTAATAAATTGTTGTATGTGGAAGCGCACTGGGCCAATAACGCTGGCTAATCTGTGATATAACAAACTGTGAATTATCATTAACAATGTGGTAGTGGAATGGTGGTCACATCTGCGCTAACGGTTTACGATGACGGGTTAGGATGATATGATGAGAATGAAGTCAGGTCACTAAATCCATCGTGACGAACTCACCAGTAATTAACCATAATGGTTTTCACGAGGACCACGTGCAGGTCGAGGTGATATGATACAATGCCAGCAAAGGGGTCACTAGATTTCATTACTAACAATCTCATTCATTACTAAAAATCTCAGAATTATGTGGTATTTGCAGAAGCTACTTAGACTTAAATAGTATATTTATAATACATTATCATATTAAATACGTTACCTACCTTAAACATTACATACATTATAATTGCTCCATACAACCTGATTAATAAATATTTTAGGAGTTATAGTAATTTATAAACTCAACTTGAGAAAATAAAATTTAAGCATAGGACACGACGACAGTACTCTCTTGGTTTATTATAGCGTTTTATTTTACCTACTCTACTACTACGCGAAGCCGGGACAGTTTGTTACTGTATTGTAATAAAAAAGCTTTTTTGTTATTAACTTCTATGTTGTATTATATTCAGATTCAGATAGAAGTGACATGTGCTCAGGTTCAAATATCAAGCGATGCCTTCAGACTGAAGTCGAATCCGTAAGGTAGGAGTTGGTCTTCAGCCGCTCTAAGTTACTCCGAGAATTTGGCATGCGCTGCACTCTGCACTCGCGGACTGTATTTTCTACCGATGAAGCTATAGAGCCCAGTTACGGAAAGAAGCAAGATCATAGTTCGAAAAAAAATCCTACTTTTACTAGGCTAAACCAGCGTTGCTTCAATTGAATAGTTATTTGGATTGTTCCGTTATGTTGCGTCACAATCATTTATTGATATATTAATTATTATTTAAAAGTAGTGTTTTTGAATCGACAAAATAAATAATTCATTACAATGGTAAATAGAAATATTATATTGCTCCGCATAGGTACAAGTATAGGTTACCGGAAAAATAATTTAAAAAGGAGTCATTCTAAGAACTGCCGGTGACGTTTATATTATCCACTTCCGCTTCTCACAAAGCCTCATAGCATTTTGCTTGGTTTTCCCTTTGTTTCTCTATGCAAAATGTGACGATTTGAAGATACTGTAAAATGATGTATGATGTCAGGCTGTACGGTCTAAGGATCTTTGCCTGTTCCATCATTGAAAAGGAGATGGACCAATATAAAAAAAAAAAGATCTGTGATGTCACTGTCAAATTGTCAAAGTCACTGTCATTCCGTATTTTTAAATTTGGCATTTCCTAACTCGAAAGAGCAGTATTTTTATTGGAGTGTATTTATTATTAAATTTCTACTTCATTTCAAATTGGTGCTATATTAATTAACCTATTTAACATATAAACACAAACAGTAATTAATTTCTGTGTATAGTATACTAATGTACTTATGATACAGACAGATTGATTTTGAATTGTTAATATTATAAAAAATATTTTCGATCACAATAATGACAGCAGTGAGAACATGTCCTGGACTTTACTGTGGTCGAACTGAGCTGGATGGTGGCAGTTGGAGTGACTGCGGTGCCTGCCCTCGAGGATACCGCACCAATGACTCCAGTTATTGTATGCCATGTGCCGATGAACCAACCCTGTATGACTGGCAGTACTTAGGATTTATGGTTTTATTACCCTTGGTTTTACATTGGTTTTTTATAGATGTTGTCGCTACAGGAAAAAGGTATGTTATTCATAATTGATTTACAATAAGCATTAATTACAATAGATTCAAAGGTGTTGCAAATATAATGTAACTAGCTCTGCCCGCAGCTTCGTCCACTTGATATTTTTAGCCTATTTGTTATTCTGATGTATAAGCTTTATTACTGTAAAGTTTCATCAAAATCAGTACTTTTTGCATGAAAGAGTAACCAACATCGATCCATACTAACAAACTTTCGCATTTATAATATTAATAACATGAGCTATTATTGTAAATAAATGAATGGTAAATTATGTAATTAAAAGTGAATCTTATTATATTTTTATATTACAGCAAAGAGGGAATTCTAATACAACATATTTGTGCATTTGTGGAGATAATATCGGGAACTCTGGCAGCACTGTTAGTTTTACCCCCAGCTGGCACAGTGGCCCTGTATGTGTGTACACCAAAGGCTCTCTCGGATTGGTATACATTATTGCACAACCCACAGCCTGATTACAAAGAAACATTGCATTGTACTCAAGAGGCTGTATATCCACTGTAAGTTGATATCTTTTTTATATTGAAAATTTAAAAAAGGAGGTTGTTCTCTATTTGAGCATATATTTAGTTTGGTTTTATATGTTACTTTAGATTTTTTCCTATTCAGATAATACTTATTTTATTTGTAAGCTAGTGTTTGTGAAGTCATCCCATATAAATATAATGAAGAATGTAAAGGTAATTTTTAATTGCAAACAAATGCTATGATATTACATAATTTTATCAGACATTCTCCCATGTATACTATATTGAAATAATAAATATAGATATTATATGTACAATCTCATCCATTAAGTATTTCTACACTTCACAAAGGTTGACTGGTAGACAATGCCTATAGCATTAAGTCTAATTTTTGTACCATAATTTATTGGTCAATAAAGTTTAATTAAATAAATCTCATTTTAATTTTTCAGATATACAGTGGTGCTGCTCATTTATGCATTTAGCCTTTTAATGACGATAAGCTTCAGGCCTTGGCTCCTGACCTTTCACACTCCCAACTTTGGCAAAAAAGCAATATATTGTGCACTCTACTTTTATCCTATACTTATATTGATCCACACAGTTGCTGCAGGTTTAATATGTAAGTGAATTTCTTATTTGTATGAATTATTTATTTATAGAATTGTTGCTGTCCTTTTGAATTTATGGTTAGTAGATATTCTAATATAAACTAACCACAAAAAGAAAGAGGTGATATTTATGGAAAATATCTAACTTTATACTTATTGTGGAATTTGTTTATATCCCAGGTGGGTAATGATTATTACACAAATTTCCATAAAATTTTTGGAAAATGTACTTGTAAGTTTTTTTTGTTTGTATGTGGCTAGAATAGCATAAAAAGTTAGGTATTCTATCTTTAACAATATATTAACTATTATTACTATTATCTAACTCTCATTACTATGTTATTTCCCTTTAATGATTCCACATATTATCATAAAAATTTGCAAATTATAAATTATAATAAATTTTGGGAGGGACATTAGTTACTCCTGTCCTGGTCAAACATGATCATATAGTTGAAGTTACAAACAGAAACTAGTAATTTATAACTTTACAACATTGATATTGTATTACAAACAATGCTATATTTTGTTAAATTATCTTTTTTTCAGATTGTTCTTTTCCATATATAATAATTATAATATCAATGATAACATCGGCGTCACATTTCTCAATCAAACTAGACCAATCTGCACCTGCACTGCTGTTATCTTCAATGACTGATACAAGAAACTTAACAATCTTGCTGGGACACTGGCTCGTTCATGCATATGGCATCATATCTTTGACTGGATTCAAGGAACTGTGGTACCTATCTTTAGTGCCTGCACCAGCATTGTTCTACATATTAACAGCACAGTTCACTGATCCAATGAAGATCCACAATGACTGACATGCACAGAAAACTTTTATGAAATTTGTATTGAACTGAGAATCAGCATGGAATTGCTGTAATTATAATACTGAAATGTTCATTACCTGGCAATCTTTTGGGCATTTTTATGTGTAGGAACCATTCACTGGTCCGATTATAGGATATTAGTCTCAAAGAAGACAATGCATAAGGTGTATCATAAGTTAATGCAGTATGTGATTTCATGGTGTTGTATTTGCGTCAGTATATTGAATGGATAGAATCCTTGAGTGCTGTAGAATAATAATTAATCACTTTTAAAGTTTCCAATATTGCATGCTTTTGGCACATGTGTATTTAAAAAAAATTATGCTATATGTGTTTTGAAATTTTTTGTAATAATTTTCCTTATACTTTTTCTAAGGATGGAGAAAAGGAATGAGCATAGTAAAATGAATGTGTACAACTTTGGAATTCTCCTATTATAGTTAAACATAACAGTTTATAGGTGTCACTTTAGTTGAGAAAGTAACTTTTGTACAATACATCAAGCGAATCTATAACATACATTTTGTACTTTTGTACCATGTTTAAAAATCCGCCCTAATTTCACATACTATTCCTGCATCGTCCTCTGTAATTACAAAATTTAAAAAATAACAAATATCCACACATCGCAGGTCATGATGGAAACGTCACGTAGCTCATTCAATTCCTTTCAGTTGACCCAATTGAGCAAGACCGAGCTCGCCACCAGCTTGCCAATTCCCGCATCCTTTAATCGTGAGTGATTTAGCGCCTTTTTATAATAATTAATTGCAATATAATTAGATTATGCAAAATGGCAGGCTTCTGCTATGAGCAAAGACATGCTGCCAGAGGCACGTCCTTGACCTCGACGACCTCATAACGGTACCTCCCTACGGTTACTCCCGCACGGTTGTCCCTACCTCGTTATGACACAAATACACGCGTAAATCGTTACTGCATACGAGTGTATTCCAATATCATCCATTAGGATAAAAATATCGTTTTTGCCAATGAAGACAACAATTGGAATATTTTGACTCTAGATTTAATGGCTTCACTCCTGGTATCGACGATGATTTTAATGATAAATGAATTTTATTTCACTCTGATACTTCGGACACCATGTTATATTATATATTCTGTTAGGATGTTGAGGTCTTTTATATTTGTATAAAAATTACAACATCAATTAGTCTACTACAAGTCCTTTTATTAGCTGATATTAATGTTATAGTACATCTACTACTAGTGATGCCCGTAATAACAAGTGACATACCAGTAATATTATAATTATTGTCGTAAAATATTAAATGTTTTGATTACGTTACTAGGTATGGTTACGTTACTATTATGGTTACAAAATAATATCTATATTACCAATGTTATTATGATAAAATACTCGAATCTGTAAGTTTCCATTTTGGTTTCACTAAATTTTTTTTTTTTCCATTTGGTTTTAATATTAATATCTATTGATAATTTACTCAGCGCCATCTAGTTCCAAGCTAAGCAGAACATGTGTTATAGGTATTAGTTAACTGATAGATATGGTTGGATAGATAGATTAGGTTTTTTTCTAAATACATACATAATATACCTAGAAAACACTAAGACCAATACAAACAATGATTGTTTGTATTGGTATGAAAGTACAACTTATATAAGTATGAACTTATGAATACGAATCGAATCCGTCACCATCGAAAATAAAGCGGTGTGCTAAACCGCTGGAACACCGAGGCAGTGTTGAAACAAAATTTATTCTATTACTAATACCAGTACTAAATTATTTGTTTAGGAACGTGGAGTTTATGAAATTAATGTGAAATCCATTGTTGTATTTTGTTTATTAGAAACTTGTTGGAGAAAATAGTCTTTTTAAGATTTATTCTTTTCTATGTATAATATGTATGTATTTACAAAAAAAAACTATGTATATGTATCAGTTGCCTAGTACCCATAACACAAGCTCTGCTTAGCTTGGGACTAGATGGCGCTGTGTGAATTGTCCTGAAATATTATTATTATTATTATATTTGGACTATATTTCGGGTGTAGAGTACAGATTGGGTGGCCGTTTCCTGAACTAAGCAATAACAATTTGTAACCCTTATAAATGAATAAAATATTTTATTTAGTTTTTTATTATTACTTTTTTTCATACCTACATATATAATTAATAAGTTTTTAGAATTATTATACATAATGATTTTAAATCATATCTACTAATATCGCAATAAGTAATTATTGATTGACAGAAAGATTTACATGGGCAATTTATAATTATGATAAATAAAATAATTATAATCTTTATAATTTTTATATATGATTTTATAGTTTACATTTTCAATATTTGAATATAAAAGCATCGCACACTAGAGGAAGTAGTGTCACACTACTTCTAGTGATTCTTTTGTGAACATCATTTCGGTATCTGCAAGCAAGGATTAAAAGGTAAGGTGAAACTAAGTGGAATTTTTGGTTGTGCCAATGGATAACGAGTGTTTTGTTTGTGATCGCTCGGGATGAGGGAGGAGACAATGAGTCTGTCCGACCCAGGCCTTTGTGTCCCCAGATATTAAAAGTCCTGTGAAGCGGATGACAATCACTGAAATATTTTTTGTTTATATGTCTATTACAATAAGTTTTCCTGTCCCATAGTATATATTTCAGACGCAATTGTCGGGGAGGGTAAATTTTTTTTGTGTTGGCGTGATTGTGTCCTTAGAAATTCAGCCACAAATACTTAATATAATTGATATCCGGCGAAAGATTATAAAAATGATAAGGTAAATTAATCTTATTAAATCGGCTTTTTTAATTTTGTTTACTACTATCAGACAAACAAATGGTCAATCAAGGTGCAAACAATCGTCTGACTTGACTACATTTGCAGTTGTATAGTGGACTTAAGTTTTACAACTATCGAAAGCATTCACCTTGATATTGAGCGTTCCCAAAATTTGGGGTTGTGAATTTACCTTGAATAAATAACATTGCATGTGATTAATTTTTACCATAAATGTACTTAAGCATCGACAATTACAAAAATGATCACGCGACAACTCTTTCCACCGACATACGAAACGAACTCGTTATTTTTTTTATTATAGCCTGTGTGCGTGCCGTGCATATTATTGTGAATAGTGAACACAATATAAAAAAATACCTTTTTGAAAAAATGTACGTTTTTTTCTGTCCTGCGTGTCCTAGTGAACGACATAGGTCATAGATCAGTCACAATCTCGTAGGTGTTGGTGACAGGCTTCATGGTTTTTGCCAGAGTGCAATATAAGCGCTATATACAGAATTTGGTCGAAAATGACTTTAAGCAACTATTATAAAGTGCCTGACTGTTAACGTTAAATCTTGTAATAATATCGCTGTGAATCACTTAGATACATTACATATATTAATGTAACATGTTTGTTTGTGTTTATGTTTTGTTGCATTTTGTTTATCTATCATTAATTATATTTGCACCGTCAACAATAAGGTATTCTCTGCACCGCTTATGGTTGACTGGTAGAAAATTAAAAAACCTTTGTATTGTGTGCATTGAAGTTAAATAAATAAATATTCCCTAGGCACAATTACGGGAAAAATTAATTTTAAACAAACTTCAATTTCTCTATCTTTCCTTGTAAACAATGATCGTTCCCTGCATTTCATTTTACCTATTCTATCTAAAAGGTTTTAAATATGGGATTTAAATAATGATCTATTTATAAAGGGACAAGGTACATTGTTATACAATAGTTGAAATGATTGCGCAGGTTGCAATAGTTGCATGAAAGGAAGCCGTGTAGTGCATTGAAAGCAAAATCGTGAACTGGAAACATGTGAACATTCTGGAACATTGAATACGAGAAATAACGAGGGTCCTAGACGATGAGGTATGATATAGGGGGGGATTCATATTGTAGCTGCAGGCATTTTGGTTTTGTATTCTAGGTATACTTTTCTGTACTATCAGGTTTTTTGTGTAGGAAATACGCATAAAATTTCAAAACATTGATAGTTGTAGTACTGATTCCCATCTGAGTTTACTGTAATGAGAATGTTTTTAAACTTTATCAATCGATGATAATTTTTCCATTTAGCAGTCCTTTGTCTTTGAGTAGTCGTCCTCATAATTGGGTTAAATACATCAAATTGTAGAATATTTATTGATCTTCAAACTTGTTTGAAATTTGGAAATAAATTTTTATTCATTTATTTCAGGCAACTAGGCCCATATTATAAATACCTTATAGACTAACATACATATAATATAATATTTAAAAACTAATACAATCATATTGTCTGTGTGATCACGGCACTGAAGATGGCAATCTGCCACGGTAGCGCCGATACACCACACCTTTCGGCCAGTAGTCCTCTTTCATGAAGGTGGGCAGCAAGTCGGTGGGGACCAGGGCCACAAACGCTTTGAAACTCGCGTTGTGACTCGACTTCAGCTGCGTTACCCTCAATGTCAGGTTACTCTTGGTACGAATATAATCGACAATGTCCTGCTCCTTAGTGGCGTAATGTAGACGGGACAGGTACATTGTCGTGGTCGGTGTAGCAGCACGCAGCAGAAAGTTGGGCCCAGTGAGTGCAGTGCCACAATGATTCCTATTGACCTTGTTTGTGCGCCTCTTCTTTTGTACCACGACGAAGCCATCATCGTCGCGGTTGCCAGTGGCAGCACACGTAGGGTCAATGTTCAGTGTCGTTTTTGGCACACGCCGCTGTACTGAAGCAGTCGGTTTGCTAGCGACGACGGCGGCAAAATCTCGACGCTGTGGTTGCACCGAGGATTTTGTTAGCGCTGCTTCCACATGCAGCGGTATCGGCGCTCGCGAGCTGCGGGCGGGGAGCACGGGGGGCGCGGCGGACGGCGGTGACACCACATCTGGTGACGTCAGTGTCGACGCCGAAACCGCTGACTCCGCCGTGAACGCATCGCGGCATGCCCCACGGCGCGTGTTGATGTTCGTAGCGTCAAGTGACCTAGTTTCTTTTCGCGAGTCGCGCAAACTGTCCACTTCCTTGCGCAACTCACTAATTATGTGCTCTGACGCATTGAAACGTAGCGTCACATCTGCCAAACTCTTTTTTAAGGACACGATATCCTTGAGTAAGCTGGTAACATCGACGTGATCAAATGTGACTGGAGGAAGTTTGTTTAAATCCTTCGCCACAAAAGTTGGCACGTCGTCTGGATCGGTCTCCTTCAGCAGCGTTATAATGTCCTGTACGCTTTTTTGTGTCCCGTCACGTCTACGAGACACCATCTGATTAGTCTTATTTAGGGACTCGAAGAGCAGAGCCTTTGCTTTCGCGATGTCGTCCTGGCTGAAGTTGGACACACAGATCTGGACTGCACTTACTTCGTCCATTACGTCCAGCTTCTGCTGCAGGAACGCAAGGAGTTCGTTGGCCACAAGTTTGTCACACATGGCTGGAACTTCGACTAGCACGGCTTATGCCGCGCTGAGCAATTACGATATTAAATAAAATAATTATAATACGTGCACATCAAATCGCGCTTACACTGAGACTGATATGAAATATATAAATATCAATACTTTACATATCCAAACATAGACCTCATTTACGGTGTACTCAAATCCTTTTAGTCAAATTTTGTAAGTTCTGTGCCATACAAAGATGGAGGACAAAGTTTCTTCACGACTTCTTGAAGTTTTAGGTAAACACGGAATTTTCTGCAATTGTTTGTATTGCAAGTTGAAAGTATGTTTGCAAAGATTCTTTGGTATCTTTTCTAAAAGAAGTTTTTACTGTTAGGTATTGATACGAGAATGACGAATATGGTAAGTATTCATAAGGCATCGTTATATTTAAGGTTCAGAAACCGTCCTTTTACGTAGGGATGTACCACAGCATTATAAGTATTTTAATAGAAATTTATTTAAAAATTAATTTAATTAAAATTAAATAAAATACTTCGCCCTATAATATTAAAAAAAAACAATATAGTTTTATATGCTGAGTGATTTCGTAGAAAACATAGTAACTTAAAGTAGTAATAATCTAATAAATATATACCATAGCAACATGTGATTTATGATACTGCCTAGCACAATTGACGAGGTAGATATACCTAATACTTCGGTA